GAAATGAAGAGAGCATATTATTAAATGAGAAAAGAATTTCTATAGCTGGACAGTGGTGGTACACACCTTTAATTCCAGCACTCAGGAGCCAAAGACAGGTGGAGCTCTGAGTTCAAGACCAACCTGGTCTACAGGACAGCCAGGGCTACACAGAGAATCCTTTTTTTCGTTGCCTAGTTTTGACTCCTTTGTAGCTTTTTTTTTTTTTTTGGGGGGGGGGGGTTGATGTGATTTCAACTGTCTGGGTGTTAAAGCATAAGAACCATGTTTGTATTCCAGAAGAAACCAATATGTGTTATACCTTTGAGACAGTGACTATGAAAGCTGGGCTTGCTTTCCAATTCCACTGTTCATTAGAGCAGTAAAAATTGGACATGACTTGTCTGAACACACTTGTCATGATGACAAACAAACACTAATGGGGAAAAAGGTTTTGTAACCTGAAATTACCCCCTTTCCATCATTGTTTAAGTCATTCTACTCCACCTATTATTTAGTGTCAACTGTATTTCTATATACAAAATAGTTAAAAAGACAACACAATCTAAAAATTAATCAAATAACTATTTTATAACTAATATAAATTCAGTCACCTCTGCCTAGCTCACTCTCTTACCAATCTATTCAAGATGAATGTGTTGCAAGCTTAGATCTAACCATCACCAAATGCTCAGACTACAAGAAAACCTGCAGTTTTTATGTTTTCCTAATTCCACATTGCTTTCAATATAGTTTTCATCCATTAATGTACAAGAGGTCCAAATTATATAAGAGAGTTGTGTGTGCTCATTTTTGAATCATACCTTGGTTTTTACTATTGACACTGAAATCAAGTTTGTCAAGTCAGGTTCTCCATAGAAGGATCCTCCTAGGATGTATCTTCTACACTTGTTCATATATAACAAATCTTGTCATGTTTTCCTTACAACGGAGACATACTGCTGCTTTTTTTTTTTTTTAATTTTCATTTATTTTACCAGCCATTTTCTCCTCCCTCCTCTCTCTACCTCCCATCTATGTTGCCCCCACCATCCACTCCTTCATTCAGAAAGGTGCAGGCCTCCGATCGGAGTCAACAAAGCATGGCACATCCCCCTCCCTGAGAAAAGACCAAGTCCTGCATCAAGGCTGGGCAAGGCATCCCAGCATTGGGAATAGTTCCCAAAAACCAGCTCAACCAGGTCCTGATCCCACTGCTAGAGGCCCCACAAACAGACCAAGATACACAACTGTCATGCACAGGCAGAGGGCCTAGGTCTGTCCCATGCAGGCTCCCTAGCTGTTGGTGCAGAGTCCCTAAGCTCTCACCAGCTCACGTCAGCTGAGACATGCTGCTTTAAGGGTAATGTCTGACTCTTGGCTGGGCACAAAACACTCTGTTTTTCCAACTTTGCTTCTTACCGCTCCTGTAACTGTCTTGCCCACAACTCTCTAGTCTAAGCTCTGTACTTCTCCAATGGTCCACCTTGAATCTGATCAAGCTCACAGATCATTTTCACACGTACTTTTCAAATCTAATTATATGCTATGACCAAATCTTATTCATGCTTTAAAAAAGACAGCTTTTAAAAGACTATATGCAGGATCAATGACATGGTTCAGTAGGTTAAAGGCTCTTGCCTCAAAAGTATGGAAGCCTAAATTTGATCCCCAAGAACACCAAATTCCATATACAGAAGCAACTTAATTGTGGAAGGATAGACCTGACTCCACAAAGTTCTCCTCTGGCTACACAGAAACACCATGGCATGAACACTCCTACATATAGCACAATAAACTTAAATGCATCCTACATGCATCCTATATGCAGGACAGGAGGTAGGTAGAGTCATTTATCTTTATCACTCATAAAAATTTCTGGGAAAAGCACATTTTTGTTTAATGAACTTAGAGTGTGGTGGATTGAATAAGAATGACCCCATAGGCTCATACATCTGAATGCTTAGTCACCAGGGAGTGGCTCTATTTGAAAGGATTAGAAGGATTAGGTATGGGATTGTTAGAGTAGATATGGCCTAGAGGAAGTGTGTCACTGGAGGTTGGCCTTGAGTTTTCAAAAGTCCAAGCAAGTCAGGCGGGCATTCTCTCTCTTCTCTGAAGGCCAGGACGTAACTCTTGCCTACTGCTCCAGAGCCAGGCGAAGCACACCACCATGCGTGTTGTAATAATGGACTAACCTCTCTCTGAAACTGTGAGCAAGCCCTAAATGAAAAGTTTTCCTTTAGAGTTGCCTTGGTTATGGTGTCTTTTCAGAACAAGAGACAAAGGGATAAATTGAGTTGTGTAGAACTCCAAATATCAGGGCTGGAGAGATGGTTCAGGGGTTAAGAGCACTGGCTGCTCTTTGAGAGGTCCGGAGTTCAATTCCCAGCAACCACATGGTGCTTCATAACCTCTTCTGGCATGCACGTATACATGCAGAGCAGTCATACATAAAATATAAATAATTTTTTAAGACACACCCCAAACATCAGGGGACAAAATAGCAAAGAAACAAAAAGAATTAAATACAACACCAAAGTTTGGGGATTAAGCTACCTTGAAGAATGATGGGTCTGTGAAGCTAAAGAGTTGGTGTCAGTCAGAAGCCCAAGTTTAATTACCAGCACCCACAAGAAGCAAGCAGCTTACAACCACAGAAATGAAAGAGGCCAGGCAAGGTCAAAGAGAATCTATCCCATATATAAGAAAAAAATAATTTGTATAAAATAAACAATTATCCCAAGGTATAAAACTGATAAGGGAAAGCAAAGAGAAAAGTCCAACATACAATAAACATTTAAATGTTAAAATTTTTACATATAGATGGTTTTTGTCTTCATGTATGTCTGTGGCTGGAAGAGAGCAACCAATCCACTGGGACAGACAGCCAGGCACCACATGGATGTACTTAACCACTGAGGCATCTCTCTGGCCCTCAACAATACTTTTTACCTCCCATACTTTCAAAAACACACTTCTAGTCCTTAACTTCTAGTGCTTACAAGAACTATCAGCAGACGATGTTTTTTTGTGTGTGTGTCTGAGTGAGGGGTGCCTCTCCAGTAAAAGTAATCTACTGCAGACCAGCTTAGTCATAAACATAACAAACAATTCTAACACTCTGAGGCATAATGTAAGCACCAACAGTGAAGTCAGTGCTATATTTGAACATGATGAGAAGAGTAAGATGACAATGAAGGCAGCAATGGAGTTTTCTCAATGAAGATGGCCAAGAAAATTAAACCCCAACCCTGTTTTGTGTCTGATAAAACAAAGTAATGGTATGACCTTGTTAGGGACAATCCCAACACAACTCTGCTGCCTCAAGACTCTGGCACAGAAACTTGCTTTTCAAATCAACCAAGTTCCACTGGCCTTGGTGTATAGCTGTCCACTGCTATGCAAAGACACAGTGAAATACAATGTGTCTAGATCCTCTACAGGTAGCAATCTTGAAGTGGGTGTAATCACAAACATCTCACAGAAAAAGGTTTAAAAAAAAAAAAAAAATGGTGGTTTAAATGATAACGGCCCCACCAGATCACATCTGAATGCTTGGTACCCAACTGGTAAACTGTTGATGAAGGATTAGGAAGGAGGTGTGGCCTTTCTGAAGGACTTATGTCACTGGTTTTGAGGTTTCAAAAGATTGCCACCATTCCCAGGTGGCTTTCTCTGCCTTGTGAGCTGTCAGCTATTGCTCCAGTGCCGTGTCTGCCTGAGTGTGAGTGCGTCCATGCTCCCTGCCATGACTGGCCATGGGCTCTAACCCTCTGGAACCATGAGCCCAAACTTGAATTCCCTTCTTTTTAAAGGTAACTTGCTTGATAATGGTGTCTTATCACAGACATAAAAAGTAACTTAAGTGGGGCAGGAGAGATTTCTCAAAGGTTAAGAGCATTGACTGCTCTTCCAGAGATCCTGAGTTCGATTTCCAACAGCCACCTATAATGAAACCGGCAGGCATACATGCAAGCAAAAGGCAGTATACATAATAAAGAAGCCTTTTTTAAAAAGAGAAAGAAAAAAAAAATAAGGCTGAAAGATAACCATGTATCCTAGTTATCATTAACTGTCAATCTGACACAGTCTAGAATCACATGTACATTTTCCTGGGCATGTGATACTGGGCAGTTTTTTGTTTTGTTTGTTTCCCAAGACAGGGTTTCTCAGTGTAACTGCCCTGGCTGAGCTGGAACTCACTCTGTAGATCAGACTGGCCTCAAACTCAGATCTGCCTGTTTCCTGAGGGCTGGGATTAAAGGTGTGCTCACTATGCCCACCTATCCTGTGCAGTTTAACCAAACTAGCTTAAGCCTGAACCAGTGAGAGAAGCCAACAAGCAGCATTCCTCCATGGTTTCTGGGTCAAGCTCCTGCATGACAACCCTCAGGGATGCACTGTGACCTGGAAGTATAAACCAAATATATCCTTTCCTCCCTCTAGTTACTGTCATAGCATCAAAAGGAACCCCAGGGCCCATCTATATAAAAATGCTGAGTGTGTTGGCACACGTTTGAAATCCCAGGGCTGGAGAGACAAGACAAGGGTGGAGCCTTTGGGTTGGCCTGCTGAGCTTAGTTCCGGCAGTGAAAGATCTTTTCTCAAAAAGCAAAGTGGCATCAGCTGAGGAGTGACACCCAAGACTCACTGCCCTCATGAATCTCATGCACACACATACAAGCACATGCATCACACATACACACACACATTAACAAACTAGCAACAGAATAAGAAAGTTTCTTTATAAAAACAGTATCAAAAAAGATTTCTGTCACCAGACAGTGGTGGCACACAACTTTAATCTCAGCACTCAGGAGGCAGATGGGCAGATGGATCTCTGTGAGGCTAGCATAGTCTACAAAGTCGGTCTCCAAAGCTAAAGAGAAACTCGTGTGTGTGTGTGTGTGTGTGTGTGTGTGTGTGTGTGTGTGTGAGTGTGTGAGTGTGTGTGTGTGTGTGTGGTGTGTAAATCTGAACTTTTTACATTTATCTATTTTAATGACAGCTCTTGTTACCTCTTCCTTTAGTGCATGTTTCTTCTGTTCCAGACAAATCTCTTTAGCCCTCATCATCTGCAAAGTCTCCTTAGAAACTGCATACTGGAGTTTTTCCATGCGTTCTGCAGCTGCTGCCCATGATGCTTTGCCAAATTTCTTCTGATCTGCTCGCATCCGATCATACACAGCTGGTAATAACAATTTTGTAGAGACAGTAAGGCACAAAACTACTAGACATCAAGGAACTATAAGGTCTTACATTTCACTGACCCCCCCACAATAAATTGTTTAATATCTCTAAAATAGTTTAATAGTATCATTCATTCTCTGTTATCTCAAGCAATGGTGCAAGCCTTTAATCACAGCACTCAGGAGGCAGAGACAGGTCTAACTTTGAAGCCAACCTGGTCTACATAGTGAATCCCAAAACAGCCAAGGCTACATAGTGAGACACTGATTCAAACAAAACAAAACGAAGAACCACCTTATGATGAAAGGACTGAGAAGATAAGCATGTTTACTGCTCTTGTAAAGGACCTAGGTTTGGTTCCCAGCATCCACGCATACAGCCGTTCACAGCACCTATAATGACCAGTTTCAGAGAAGCAGATGCCTTTTTCTGGCCTCCTTAGGTTCTGTACACACATAGTACACATAAACACATAAATAGAAAATATGTATAAATCAACTTTAAAAAAAATAGCTTAAAGCTAGGCATAGTGAGTTGAAGCCAGCCTTATTTACAGGACAGTTAGGGTCAACCACATAAAAAGACCCTGTCTCAAAAAACAAGAAAAAATAATAATCAATAAAAATAAGTTAATCAGTAAGAATATGGGTGAACATGATCAAAGCACATATATACAGCACTCATGTAGAAGCTGAACTCTAAGCCCTAAATATTCAATCCTACATTCCATGGCTTATCACTGTATAAGCTGAAAATTCTGTGATAACAAATGCAGGAGGAACTAATACCACATACTAGTTCAGTTCTCATCCAGAAGGTAAAACTGGAACCATCGGCTATGAAACAGCACAGCCACTTGGGTTTTTCTGTTTGCTTGATTTGTTTTGTTTTTCAAGACAGGTTTTTTTTTTTTTTTTCTGTTTAAGAGTCCTGGGTTTCCTGGAACTCATTCTGTAAAACAGGCTGGCCTTGAACTCCTAAGTGCTAGGATTAAAGGCATGCACCACCACTGCCCAGAAAGAAGATCTTTTTTAGCTGGTAATAGGCCTGGCTCAGATGCTAATGGTTGATAGACAGCTAATATCTTCCAGTTTAAAAAAAAAAAAAAAAGCAGGACTAAGCATGTAGTGATGGTGCATACCTTTAATCCCAGCGCTTGAGAGGCAGAGGCAGGCACAACTATGTGAGTTTGAGGCCAGCCTGGTCTACAGAGTGAGTGCCAGGCTCCAAAGCTACACAGAGAAACCCTGTCTCAAAGAAAAAACAAAACAAAACAAAACAAAAAAAACAAAAAAAAAAAAAAAAGCCAAACACACCCAAACAAGTAAAAAAAAAAAAAAAAGAAAAACAAAAGTAGAACTACAGAGCCAGCTCAGCATATAGGAGCACCCACTGTTCTTCCAAAGGAGCCAAGGTCAATTTCATAAAGGCATAAAGCCAGCTTCAAGAGAGCTAATGACTTGGGCCTCATGGGAACACGCACGCACGCACGCACGCACGCACACACACACACACACACACACACACACACACACACACACACACACGTACACATAAATGAGTTTTTTAAGAGAATACAGATGGGAACATTGACAGTGGTTCCCACCTGAACGCTGAACTCTGTATCTTTATGCCCAATCACAAGTCCATAATGATAGATGCTTTCTTACAAATACTGGCAATTAGATTAGTTCCAAATGCAAATCAGATATACTCACTGGTACCTTCTTTTATATTTTAAAAGGTGATTAACTCTGTACTGTTATTTTTGTCCTAACCATCTTTTATAATACAGAGTTGTGGTGGTTTGAAAGAAAATGGCCCCCATAGAGAGTGTGGCATGATTAGAAGGGATGGCTTTGGAGTAGGTATGGCCTTATTAGATGAAGTGTGTCACTATGCAGGTGTGATTTGAGGTCTCATATGCTCAAGCCATGTCCACTGAGTCAGTTCACTTCCTGTTGTCTACAGATCAATATGGAGAACTCTCAGCTCCTTCTCCAATACCATGTCTGCCTATATGCTGTCATATCCTGCCAAAATGATAATGGACTAAACCTCTAAAACTATAAGCTAGCCCAATTAAAGGTTTTCCTTTATAAGAGTTGCTGTGGTCATGGTATCTCTTTTCACATCAACAGAAATCTATTTAAGGCTGAAATTGGTACCAAGGACTGGGTTATTTCTGTATAGGCCTGACCATGTTTTGTTGTTTGGGGAAATTTGGATTTTGGTACTTTTGAGTAAGGAAAGTAGGGGCGCTTTAAATGCTGCTTAATGAGCCATATTAATAAAAGCATGGATGACAGTGATGCTCTGGGTGATCTGGACTGTGGGGGTCAACATAAGAGGTTTCAGGAGAATTTTAGTATGTTGACTAGAGACAGTTCTTGTGATATCTTTCTTGGTGAAGAAAGTGGTTGGTTTTATTTTTGTTTTGCTTTTTTTTTTTTTTTCTCTCTCTCTTGTACCAAAAATCTGCCTAAGGCTAAAGTGAAAAGTTTTGGATTAATTGCACTGGCAAAGGAGATTTCAAGACAGCCTAGCCTAGTATAGGCTGTCATGTGGTTACTAATGTTGATTCTTACACCAAGACTTATAATGAAGAGGAACAAGCACATCAAGGGAAAGCAGTAAGTATTCTTAACTGTGGAGCCATCTTTCTAGCCCCGGAACGCCTTTCTTTAAGAAGAAATAAGCTCATAATAATTTATGTACATCTGTATGCAAGTCAGCTCCTTATGCTGATCTCTGCATTCCTATACTGATGCTCATAGGGCCAGCTGACTTCGAGCCTGTGGCGCTTACCTCAAAAACACTGCTGTTTCTTGAACTTAGAGTCTTTAGAAATTGCCTGTGTCCCTGGCCTAACAGATAAGGAATCTGCTTCTTTAGAAGGTGTGCTGCTCCCTTTCCTTGATCTCTTTGAGCTTTGTTGCTAAGTTATTGCTGCTCTTGGTGACTCTTACACGACTAAGGGAACAGCTTTTCCTGAAAATATGTCTTGCCTTCAAAAACTGAATTTTTGCCAGACCCTGCAACCATGTTAATAGCATCCCTTGACCTTGTGTTCATATCCACTATATGTTCAGCCTGTCTAACTTGCCCTTAAGAAAACAATGAACGGCCAAGCATGGTGGCACACAACTTTAATCTCAGCAGAAACAGGCAGATCTCTGTGAGTTGGAGGTCATCCTGGTCTGCAAAGAGTTCCTGGACAGCCAGGACTGTTATATGGCGGGGGGCGCAGATGAAGAATAATGAATGAACCAACCCTTACTATACTTTCAATATAGTCATTTTGTTTAATAAGCTAAGCACATGGTTTTGATTTTTAATATATGCTTCCATGCCCCTAACCCAGAGGGGTGTGTGTGTATGTGTGTGTGTTGTGGTTGGTAATCATTTGCTAAAAGCAGCCAACAGGCTGAAAGCAACCTTACAGAATACAAACACCCACCCTAAATGCTGGAAGCAACATGTGGAGATAACATGTTTGCAGTTTTGAGTGCTATCTTGGGTCAGCTTGTATCAATAAAATATCTCTTGCAAAACTATAAAATGTTTACAGAAGAAAATTTCTCATTTTTCCCCATATCTTATTTTCTGTACTGTTTAATAAACATGGAACAAAACCCTTTGTTAGAGAAAGACAACAAACAAACATCATGCAACAGTAGATAACAGACCACAAATTTCAGATGAACAAAAGAGACAGGGCAACGAAATTCAAGTTTGTGCTCACTCTTAGTCTAAACTACCCCAAGAAGAACCTTTTTTTTATTATTTAATGTGGCATGAATGGGCATACTAACAACAGAGCAAAAGTTTTCCACTCAGCATCTCCTCGAGCTTCAATTTTAAGGTCTCAAACAAAATATCCCTATTGTCTATTTTATATGAAATATATTTTTTTAAAGTCTCTGACCATCTTTAAAAATTGTATTCAAACATTAAAGTAATTGTAAGATCAATAAAGTAGAGTTTACTACAGGCTGGGAAATGTTCTATTTTAAGTATGATATATTTTTAAGTCAAGTCTATGAGGTTTAGTTTTATATATATGGTTAACTGTTTAATCATGTTTTTCCAGTAATCGATTCTATCTAAGATTAAATAGCCTTACTGTGTTTATTTCTGTATATGTAACAGAGTCTCAGTTCTTAGTTGGCCCCCAGATCTAAGCACAACTAACTTTATGATGGATGTTCCATTCATACCATAAAACTCAGCATGGAGACAGTACCACCTGCCAAAATGAAAACAAAGGCCCAATCCATCAAAGCCCATATTGAGAATGTCCCTAACTGCACTAACCTTGCTTTCTGGGTTCTGCAATTCCACTTCTGGCTAACTGTTCTTGCTAATTCATGTTTGTCAACACAGAACATAGATTCTGTGCTTAAAAGCTCACCCTGAAAAAGGCTCAGGACTACATGGGATCCCTAACACCTAGTAAAGTTGACAGCTGGCTAAATAAGACTTACATCCACATGTGATAAGCATTTTCTAGTGGCTACCCCACAACAGTACTCTCTGAGCAAGCCATACACATGTGCCTAGAAGAGGCTGAAAGGATACCTTGACTTGCTACTCTCTGCTGTGGTGAGCCACACTTACCCAACTCTACAATTAGTCTAAACTTAACTCATCTTCAAAATCTGCCTAAGGAATCTTCCTGAAAATCTTACCTTTCTGAGCTTTAGCTGTTATTTCAAAATATTTGACAGTGAGATCCTGAATAGACAATACAGCCATGTGAGCTTTCCGCTGCCAGTCAGCATCTTCTTTTTGTAGACTCTCAATTCTTCGAGGTCCCAGATAATCATTCTCCATGGAAATCTGCACAGAGAAAAAGGGGGAAATCTCTCACTCATTCCTCAAACATGTAATGAGTACTTGTTTATTATATGCCAGGAGCTAGTCGGAAGCACTACTTGTATCCTGCTCTAGAATAGACATCAGTGGTCGTCAAACTGCGATTTAATAGCAATGCTGAAGATATCTGACATGGGAATCTGCCCTCCTTTCCCTTTCTACCTCCTTCCACCCTCCATTCTCTTCTACATATGTGGGAACAATACACAGCAAAGCGTTTGGTCATTTCCAAGTGCTGAGATAATAAGCTATTTATTTTCTCAAAATAGTAATATTTTATGTTAATTATTTGAGCAATGATTATACTTAAAAGCCATTAAACATTGAAATATAGATTTTTAAGATCGGTGACACTAAAAATCTGTCCATGTGCATACTGAAAATACTCTAATAAATTTTCTTTTACATATTATTTTCCTTTTTCAAGTACTAAGGCCTGGCATATTCCAAGCAAGCATTCTATCCCTTTAAGATAAAAACAAAACTAGCTATGTATTACCAAAGTGACAAACAAAATGAACAGAAATGGATCATGTATACATATAATCCTGCTTTATCATTATATACAGAAGATTAAAAAAATAAGAAACATTTAAGTAGGGCATGGTGGCCCATGTCTGTAACCCCAGCTCTTTAGCATGAAGCATGAAAGAAAAGTAATAATACTGTTAATATAATGAAAACTTTAATTAAAAAAAAAAGATAATGAAAACTAAGACTGTTGACACATGTCTTTAAAACCACTCAAAAAGCAGAAAGACCAGTCTGTCTACATAGTAAGTTCCAGAACAGTCAGGGCTACATAGAAAGACCATGTCTCAAAAAAAAAAAAAAAACACGCGGGGGGGGGGGGCCCTAGAGAGATACTGCCTGATACTGAATACCCAGATTCAATTCCCAGCACCTACAACTATGCTGATTCACAACTATCTGTAACTCCAGTCCCAAGGTATCTAACACCCTTTTTTGGTTTCTGTGGGTACCAGGCACACATGTGGTATACAGAAGTATATGCAGGCAAAACACCCATATACATTAAATGAAAACAAGTATCAAATCACTGAAAATAATTAATGAATTTCAAAGATACAAATAAAACAAGCCATGTTTTCTAAGCAATGCAAAAAACAAATTAACATAAAAACCTAAAACTGAAATAAAATTTAATCACCTGGAATTTAACACCCTTCATTTGAGGAGGAAAGGAACTTCAAAAAAGAAAAGACCTAGCATTTATATTTGTGAGTATTTTTTGCAAAGGTCATGGCCAGATATAAATCTGGGCATCAACAACACAAATCCATAATGGTTAGGCCAGGCAGTGGTGGTGCACACCTTTAATCCCAGTGCTTGGGAGGCAGAGGCAAACTGATCTGTGTGTGTAACGCCAGTATGGTCTACAGAGTGTGTTCTAAGAGGGTTAAATGAGGTGTACACACCCACACAAACAGTCAGTGTTCACGAGAGAAAGATAGTCAACAAAAGATTCTTCAACTGCATAAAGAGCTGAGATAGAGAGGTTCAAGAAGAAAGCTCCTTTGAGAAGTAACTAGAGATATTCACACTGAGGGGTGTTTGAAATAAAGGGAAAAATGAACATCAGACATATGAGAAAGTTGTGTTTGACAGTCATGAAATCCAAGTCTTTGCAATAATAAATGTTTACAAAGTTTCTCTTAACATGAAATAATGCTATAACATAGGTGGATATAGCTCAAAATCATAGATGAAATAAAATTCAATTACATAATGAATTTCCAGAGAAATAAAGGCAAAGCATATAAAATGTACTATTGATGTCATCTTCAGGTGGCAGGATTTTGGATCAGTCATTTTCTTCCTGTTCAAAACTCCACTTTCAAGGGCTGGGGATATAAGTAGGGGGTAGAGCTCTTGCCTACACATGTAAAGCCCTGGGTTCAATCCACAGCACCTCAAGAACACAAAAACCAGTTTCTGACAGGTATGTGACTCATGCCACACTTGTTATTCCAGCACTCAGAAAGCTGTGAATTTCAGCCTGAAATACAAAGTGAGACCTTGTCAAAAGAAAGGAAAATGAGAAGAGTGGAGAAAGAGAATGGCCAAGAAAAGACCCTGCATTTTCTACTTTCTTCATTGAGTGAAATATATTTAACAATGAAGAAGTGGTGGTACACATATATACATATAATAACAAACGGGAAGAGATTGTTTCATTTCTTTGGGTTAACAAGCTATATCAATGAATGGGTTAAAAGCACATTAACCTCAAGTATTCCATTTTCCTCTAAGAGGATCAAAGATGGTAAACATGAGATGCTTCTCTTGGCAGTGTATAGGAGAGGAGGAAGCAGCAGCAATATCCTGAGAACCCCAATGTCTCCCATTCACAGTGAAAAACAACTATGTGAGTCCTGTTTCGGGAACTATAAAACCGGTGTCAAGCACATACTAAGGAAGGAAGAACATCTCAGCCTCCTGACTTGCTGGATGACAAGTGTGTACTAGCATGTCTGGCATGGAACCTTGGTTCGTGATAGTCAACTCCCTAACTCATTTATGCTGGATTCGTATTCCCTAATACACAATTTATATATATGTAAATATACATATATATGCTCTGCATATTGTTCATTTCTTTTTGAACTTTAACTGTGGTTCATAATTGAAAATATTAAGTGTATAATTTAAATAAAGAGAACACTGTAGGGCAGTAGAGCATGAAAGAGTACCTGGGTTCGGTTCCTAGCACCTACAAGGTGGTTTGTAACCATCCATAACCATCCAGTAAGGCAATGCCCTCTCTGATCTCCATGAGTACCAGGATCAATGCCCTATCTGACCTCCATGAGTACCAGGACAGACATGGTACACATGCATACATGCAAGCAAACACTCATACATGCAAAACATAATAAAAAATAAAATATACATGGGGGGGGTACGACACACCAGTGTACCAGATGATACAAAGGGTACAAAAATGAGAAGGATGCAGTAGTCTTCACAGGATATTTATAATACAATGGAGGGGAGGGGGTGTATTAGTGATGCAGAATTCATGTACTTATTTACTTATCTGCAAAAGTAGGAGACATGGTTCTGTTACTAATTAACCATAATGTTTTTCACAAATACCTTACCAAACCAATAATACATTTAAATGATCATGGTGTGGCATGCTTGAAATCCCAGATGCTACAGAGGCCTTTTTGCCTCATCTTCAAGTTCATCCTCCCAATACCTTGTAATGCTCGGTTTGGAATCTGCAAACCCTTTTCAGGTCCTATCATTGGAAAGGTTGGATGGAGGGAGATACCCTTCTTTCCTCCTATCTGAATACCTTTAACTCTGCTGTGCATGCATCATCCCAGCCTTGGTTTTCCACTCCAGGACTAGCAGTTCCTTTCTCAACAACAAAATCAAGTTTTTTCAACCCCAGCCTCACAATGCAACTTTACCTTTTCCACCAAGACAGCCAGTACCAACACACCAAGTGCCCTATCCTTAGAGGTCTGGATCTCTCCATCAAGGTTACTACAAGAAGCAACATCCTTTTTGTCAGGACATGTCTCCAGGGGACCAGCCTTCTGTGCTTGACTCAATAAACCCAGTCCCTTTCCTTTGTTCTTTCTCCTCTAAAAGTGCGGCGCTCTTTTTATAATTGTTTCCTTTGCGGTAGTTTACTTTCTTGCCTTAATTACCTGCTTTACTTTATACCTAGACAATAAATCTTAGTATTAGAACACTCACTGTTGAAGTTACTAGCTTGATCTTCTGGTCAAAACCCAAAAGACTTAACTACAGAATAGAAACTCAATAAACACCATTTTTTAAAAAATGTCCTAACTCAGAACATGAGGACAGAAATCATTTCTACCTGCATGAATAAACATCATAACTCCCATCAACAGACAAAGGGAGGGGATGGACACCTAGAAAACTGAGATTCTGTATTAAGGCTTTTGTGCGAGGAGGTTAAAACCAAACAGAACAGCATAGTCATCTTAAGAGAACTTGCACACTGCTGGATTAGCACTTGCCTGTCCCCACCTCACAACAGAACATGAACAAACACACACACGTAACACACACACACACACACACACACACACACACAACTTGTGCGCGCACCTCCTGAACCACATTTCTTCTGTGGCTTTGTGGATGACTTTTGAATTCAGCAGCTATAGTGCTGCAACCAAGTGCTAGAAAGCTTGTCTAATCATTTTCCTATACTCAAGGCACTGAGCAGCAATCCTCTCTAGCTTCTTTTCCTAACTTGGGAAACTTGAAGATGTCACAGCAGCCCTGTTCGGCTGGACTGTGTGTTAAAACAATGACAGCTCTGTTTGGAATTTCAAGGCTAGAAAGAAAACAGAGCCTGTTTTAACATGGAAAAAGGTGTGTCAGTTTAGGTAGCCAGGAGAATAAAACTAATTTATAAACACAAATTCTCTGGCATGGAACTCTCTATTATGAAAGTATATCATTGCTAGGACACTGCAGTTTTATGAGCTCTTATTATAGTATTTCTGTGTGTTGTTAAGATACTGGGAAAATATAGCTTAAGATTCTTTGGTGAAGCAAATGCCAACACAGATTTATGAATATACTTACTGATACTGCACACAATGTAACTTTTCCAGACACTGGGGCTGCTTGTTCAATGATAAGCAATTAACAAAACTTTTTTAAAGTCTTACTTTCATTGTGTGTGTGTGTGTGTGTGTGTGTGTGTATGTGTGTGTGTGTGTGTGTGTTAAGGTGCCTGTGAAGGCTAGAAGAAGGCATTAGATCCACTGGAGTTGGAGTTACAGATGGTTATGAGCCACCATGATGGGTGTTGAAAACCAAATAAGATCTTAATTCAAATGGGCACAGGGCCTAAGACATATGGCTAACTGGTATATGAAAAATATTCTATACCACTAATCATCAGGGAAATTAAGTCAAACCCATAATAAGTTATGATCTCACTCCTATTTAAATAGATACTATCCAAAAGACAAATGTTAGAAAGAAGATGAAGAAAGGGGAGTTTTTTGCATACTGTTGGTGGGAACTATTAGTATTAACTTATGGTAGCTCCTCAGACAATTAAAAACAGGCCACATGTTCTTCCAGTTCTACTTTAAGGATATGACCAAAGACTTGATGGCAGTATGAGGTTCCAATGTTAACTTCAGCATTACTCACAATAATAATGACATGGAATGAATGTATGTGTCCATCAACAGGTGGACAAAGAAAACATGGACATGCATATATGTATATTCTTTCTTTCTCTCTCTCTCTCTCTCTCTCTCTCTCTCTCTCTCTCTCTCTCTCTCTCTCTCTCTCTCACACACACACACACACACACACACACACACACACACACACACGTGTCATTCAGCCTTTAACAAACTCATGTAGAAGAGAAGGACTTGAAGCTTAGGGAAGATTTTAGTTAAAGGACACAAAATTTCAGTTAGGAAGACTAAGTTAAAGAGGTGTTACAACATAGTAAAATACATTTACCAATAAATATATTTTTTAAAAACATAACAGCAGATACTAAAGTGTTCTCACCAAAATTTAATAAAGTATATAAGACATTAACTAGTTTATTTTAGGTCTTCTAATTTTTTTTTGTTTGTTTTTATTGAGACAGAGTTTCTCTGTGTAATAACCCCAGTTGTCCAGGAACTTGCTTTGTAGACCAGGCTGGCCTCAAACTCAGATATCCACCTGCCTCTGATTCCTGAATGCTGGGATTAATGAGTGTGCACCACCACACCCAACTTAGTCCTTGAACAGTGCAAAAATAAAATATAAAACATTACTGTAGATGAAATCTTATTGCTAAGTTAAATGTTAACCTTAAATAAGAATAAATTGTAAAGGCACTGCTAAATTTGATTTTATTCAATATACTAATTAAATGAGATCTCACTACTATAGTTTAACTATATCTCTCTGATCCCCAAAGGATCATCTGTTGCAAACTTGGTTCCCAGGGTGGTTCCCAGTTCAGCTTAGGATGCATTCAAGACGACTGTGAGCTGACTGCACAATCTTATGCTCATACTTGCACTCCTATTACTGCAACCACCAAAAGGTGGTATTACTGATGCCCTCACCAGAGCCTGCATTATTTAGACTACTAACTTATCCTTCCTAGGCGTTATAAGAGCCTGCTTTGAACTTTTTTTTTTGGGGGGGGGGGGGGTAGTAACAGACAACAGACCAGCATACTGACATACTATATAATGAGTCTTCTAATCTATTAATGTATAACACCTCTAAAGTTAGTCACTCTATAATTTGTGTGATATATTGGTGTTTATTTGTTCTGTGCTACTGGGGACTGCATCCTAGGGCAATAGGCATGGCAGGACAAGTACTCTACTACAGTGACTTCAGCATTTTTTTACAATTCTTACTTAAAAGTACTTTCGTGTATTTTAGTGGCATTTATTACCAAAAGTTTTATGTATAAGGATTTCTAATATAAGTGGCATTTAAAAATATTTCAATTTTAAATAGTTCGCATCTAAAAGACAATATGCAACCAAATCTTTCATAATGACTGTATACCAAAATTCCATTAAACTTACTTATTCTTTCTAACAACTCCTTTAAGGTTCCTTAGAATTAGCTGGGCTGTGGAGGCGCATAAATCTCAGCACTTGATTGGCAAAGGCTGGAGGGTCTCTGAGTTCGAGGCCAGCCAGCCTCCTCTACAGAACGAAGTTCTAGAACATCCTTGAAGCTACAGAGAAACCCTTGTCTTGAAAAGCAAAAACCAAAACCAAAGATCCCTTTGAACTTTCTACATCTTTCTAAAAACAATGAACTTTCCTTCAATTTTTCCGGTTTATGTATTATTTTTACAATTTTGTATTTTTATACTTTTTTGTATTGTACTTTTATGGGCTTTTTGGACTGCTTAGACCTTTAGAATAACACTGAATAAAAATAAGTATGAAAAGGTTGAAATGTAAATGGGCATGGTGACACAGGTTTTTAGTTTCAGCACTCTGGAAGCAGAGGCAGGAAAATCTGAGCTCATGCCTGGTCTATATAGTGAGTTCCAGGACAGCCAGGGCTACATTAAGAAAGACCCTGTAACAAAATGAAGACAATCTATCTGTCTCCCTCTCTCTCTCTTCTCTTTTCTCCTCACTCTCTCCACATAATACAATGTATGTATACTAATTTCTTAAAAAAAAAAAAAAGAAAAAGAAAAAGAAAAGAAAGAAAAAGAAAGAAAGAAACATTTAGACTAAGTTTCTAAAATACACTGAAATAATGTGTTTTTAATGTAACCAGGGTTAGGTTTCATGAATTTTTATCTAAGTTTTATCTGTTTCACACTTACTCTCAATCTTTTCCTTAACTCGTTTGTTTTGTAGAGCTAAACACTATACCAATGTTTTTTCCTAGTGTCCTCACTAAGAACCTTCAATGGTTATTTTAGGCCCCTCTCTAACAAATACCTATTGTCCTAAATATTCTTGAGCTTCAGTTCACACCTGAAGTCTTGTTAAGGGTGCAGAGCTAAGTCATATTATGTTCACATTCTGCCTGCATGTATTCCTGAAGGCCAGAAGAGGGCACCAGATCTCATTACCATGTGGGTGCTAGGAACTGAACTCATGACCTCTGGAAGAACAGTCAATGCTCTTAAACACTGAGCCATCTTTCTAAACACACTACACATTGCACCAACGGGTCAGAGTAAATCATGTTTCTACCTCTATTTAGGCACTAATTTATCTTCTTAAACTAAGATAAAATAATGTCCAGGAATTAAGGTGGTAAAAGGGCTGTCTCAATCATAAATCCCTAGATTCAATTGAACTGCTGTAAAAAACAAAAACTGTAAACAGGGGTTTTGAAATTTTATTGATATACCTAGCTTGGTTATAATCCAAATACAAGTCTCAATTATTGTGCCAGTTAGTTTATTTTGAAAGAAGAAGCCTCAATAGAGAAAATGAGCCCTTACTAGATTATCCTGTGGGTAAACCTCTGGTGCATTTACTTGATTGATGACTAGAGTGGGAGGACACAGCTCACTGTGGGTGGTGCCATCCCTAGGCTTGTGGTCCTGGGTGCTATAAGAATGTAGGCTGAGCAAGCCATGGGGAGCAAGTCAGTAAGCAGCACCCCTCCATGGCTTCTGTATCCACTCCTGCCTCTAGGTTCCTGCTCTGTTTTGAGTTCCTGTCCTGACTTCCCTCAGTGATGGACTGTGATGGGAACTTTAAGTTGAAAAAGTCCTCTTCTCCCGAAGTTGTTTTATCACACACACACACAAAAAAAAAAAAAAAAAAAAAAAGCTAATAACTAAATTATATCATATCCACATGATACTATATAATAAGTGATTGTTTTTAGTTTTTGTTTTATAACAAATAATTTGCCAAAGCAATTATAATTCCTTTTTTACAATGTGTGTCCTTCTAACTTAATAGTAACTAGTAATAATAAAATAAAGACATTCTTTGGAATTATAATCACCTAAATTGGTGACTATTACTAGCTATGGACATGACATAAATGAGTAATTTGTGTAACAGTACCACTTAACATATTCATTCATCTGACACACTATGAACTATGGGCAGTACCATCCCTAGGTTGATGGTCCTAGGTGCTATAAGGACTCAATAACTAAGTGTAGAGAATTATTAGGAAACATGCCTATATGTAGCAAGCATTCATAAGCACAAAGAATAAAATAGTTGTGGTTGAGTGATGGGAGATGTCATTCTATAAATGTTCCTCTTATTGGTTAATGTATAAAGCACTGTTGGCAAATAGGACAGCAAGATAGATGGAACTAGGAGACAAGGAAGATTCTGGGAGATGTATAAGGGTCAAGATGTAGGGCCTTGAGAAGGTCTGGACCCTCTCTCTCTGGTAAGATAAGACCATGTGGAAGCACTTAGGTTGATAGAAATGGGTGAATATTTAAGACAGAGGTAGCCAATAGTAAACACTAGTAACTAGCCAACAGCTTTATATCTAATACTGTGTGTGTTATTTGAGGCTGGTGTGGCTGTGGGATTAGGCTGGCGGGAAAACTGCTCGTAATAGCTGATGGTGTGATAGGCAATAGCTTATAACAAATAGAGTCAAATACCGCTGTTTGCCTTAAAGAAAGTTACAAATTGAATAAATATAATCTGTTTCTCCTCATTTCCCAAGAAAAATGGAGTAAGCAGTGATAGTAGCTCACCCATTCAGTCTATAGATTTACCCGAATGAATGTTCAATACACGCTTGCTAATTAATTACTATACCTCTAAGAACGAACTTAAAGTTTGAATAGTCAACGTAGACTATGTCTGCAAATACTGCAAGCAGTCCAGTATTGGGGAACACCACAGCTAGTTCTTTTTGGCCTTTCAGGGTAGAATCTCAAAAAATGACTACAGTTGGTTTTTAATTATAAATTCTAATATCCAGTCTTAGGTTTCTGACACCCTTTTGATCCAAGTGCCAAATTTATTTTAAAATAACTGGCAATCTGATATTTTTCAAAAGTTCAAGTAAGAATACAATAATACATGCACTTATTGTCCCAACATTGGACAAAGGATCTTAGAAAAGAAAGGTCAAGGATCTGTTTGCACTATTTAAAATGTGTGACTAGCCAGCCTCAGAACTAGAGTGGCTATAGTTTATGATTTAAAAAAGAAAAAAAAAAAAAAATACCTTGATCTGCTGCCTTCGCAGCATGGCGAGCTCTCGCATGTCTCGGAATGGCTGAAGTAAATACTGGTAGAGTTCAGTTGTAGCCTCTGCAAGGCTGCTGTAGGCCTCATCCTCCATCTGATACAAGTCCAAAAGCTCCACCATGCTCTCTATAGTCTTGTGCTTGTCCAAGAGCTGCAAACAAAAAGTTTCAATACTAAGAAAACTACAGTAGCTGATAATACTGTACTCAGGTTGATGCAGAACCAAGAGGTTACTAAACAGACAGTTTGCATGTCCTCTCCATACTTGAAGTGTCTTACTATATGTAAGAGACCTGATTCATTAGGGGTGGAGGAGTACATACTGCCTACCTGTCTTTAAATCCCCATCTAGTAGTGCTCTCCAACCATATAATGAAACAAAATAATAACAACAAACCCACTTTATTACTGTGCCAGTTAGTTGCTGACACAGCCCTACACACATCTGGGAAGGAGGAATCTCAACTGAGGACTGCCTCCATCAGACTAGTCTGTGGGCATGTCCACAGGGCATTTTCTTGATTATTAACTGATGCAGGAGGCCCAGCGGTGCCATCCTGGACAATGGGCCTGAGTTATGTAAGGTAGCTGAGCAGAAGCTATGGAGAAGCTTAGTGTCATCCTTATATATGAGTGAGTGGGAAAGCTACCTCAGCTACATGAGATCCTCTCTCAAAAACTAACCGCAGAATAAAATATACACACCTAAAAACAAAACAAATGACAACAAAACCCCACCACCTCCAGTATCAAGAAAGACCTATTGTAGGTCATAAATAGGTTTTTTGTTTTGTTTTTAAGCTGAACAGAACTAGAGTATTAAGGACTTTTTTTTTTTTTTTTTTACTACACTGAAATTACAATAGCTGGAAAGCTCTCAAAAAATATAAGTTAAGGACTGGAGAGATGACTGCACTGGACCCCAGCAATGAGTTCTAATTTGAGGCAAGAGTGTCCACCTTCACTATACTTAACACTACACACACCAGAAACAGTAACAGTAGGGAAGGGTCAGACTTGCTTTGGGGGCGGGGGTGCAGGCATACTAAATTTTTAGTGAATCACAAACTACTCATTTATACCTCTAAAGGCAATAAATCCTTAAAAGAAAAAGTAGATGAACCTTATCTCTCTTTAAAATGATTAAACACCAAATTTTATAAACATCAAAATAAGAAATGAGAAAAAAGCAAATGGCAGCAATATGTCTAAGTAACTAAACTCTTCCTCTCCCTTCATTGTTACTTAACTATGAAATCTACAATTCAAACTTAGAAAACCTCACATACTATATAGGCTTGAGTTCTGCTCTGAACACCAAAGTCAATGTGGTACTACTACTTTCTATCAAAATAAATGTACAAAAACTAAAGCAGAAATCAGTTTTCAAATATTAAAATACTTACCCAGCATTCCCTACATGGTTTTTACTCTCCAACAGGGCAGTACTCAACTATGCAGCAACTAAACTTAATACTCTTGGCAGAAGCCCGGGGCATCTCACCTAACAATACTAATTTATTAATCTGTCTTTGCTATAAAGTTTCATGCTTTTTCCAACACTAGATTACTTTAAAAGCAATGATAACTGTATTTTAAATTCGATTATATTTCTATTTTAATCTAAGTAATCTGGAAGTAATCTTAAATGAAATGTGCTTAAAATTACAATACACTCAACAGACTTGAAATCGTTTTCTGTCATTCATGATAAAGGAATTCAATGGGGACGGGCAGTAGAAGGAAAGGGAGAGCAAAGGAGCGGGAAGAAAGCAATCACTCTTCAGCTAAGGAAAACCTTGAAAAGTCTAGAGAATAAATGCACACTCATGGTTATAAACTGTGAAATATGAGTAGAAAGAAATTATGACAATTGGAATACTTAGGATTATTGAGGCTGTTAAAAAATGAGGCCGATAGCAGCCTGAGAAATTTGAAATTATCCACTGAGACACTCACTAAGAATGCAGATGTACCCGGATATGAGTAAAGCATTTCTGCAAAGTGTTTCCTAAGGGCTCAAAACCCATCAGTAAACATAGCAACAGGAGAGACAAGTGGGGAAGTGGGGTGGAGAGTAAAGCTCTGCACTCTCTGCTCTAGCATCTGACAGAGGGCTGGAGAGCACTAGAGGCGCTCTCTCCCAGAGCCCAGCCAGCACCCACAGCAACTCAAAACCACTGTGTCTAACTCCAGTCCTAAAGGATCTAACACCCTCCTAGCCTCCACAGGCACTACACACACATGGGGTGGTACAGACATACATGCAGGCTGAACACCTATAAATAGAATTAACAAAGCACTGGGGGTTGTGTTTTTTTTTTTTTCCCAGACAAAGCTCTTTGGCAAGTTTGGGGAATAGAAGACACAAAGTAAAATTTACCAAGCATTACATATAACTAACCACCTAAGCTTAATAAGTAAAACAAATGGGGTTTGTGTGTGTAATTGAAGGTTGAACCTTGTTTACACAAGCTAGGCAAAACCACTCCATTACTTAGCTGTATTTCCAACCCTTCTTCCTTTTGTCCTTGACACAATCCCACACAGTGCAAGCTAGCCTTGACCTCTCTAAGCATCCAAACAACCTTGAGTTGAACTTCTGATCCTTCTGTCCCTACCTCCCAAATGCTCTAAACCCAGGACTTTCTGCACAGGAGACAGGGACACAAGCATTCTGCCAACTGAAACATCCAGCTCTTTTTTTCTTTTTCTTTTTTTTTTTTAATTTTATTTTTTGGAAAGGGTCTCACTATATAGCTCTGGCTAACCTGCTACATAGAACAGATCCTCCTACCTCTGCCTCAAGAATGCTAGGATTAAAGGTGTACCATCATGTTCAGCTTTTTGGCTCCTGCCTCCAGCTTTTTGTTCTGCCAGGAAGTCTTTAAGTTACTTGGGACTCCTTTAGCTCAAATAGGAGTTGAGGTTGCAACTCTACTCCAGCCTCCTAAAGCAGCTGGGATTACAGGTTTGCACCAACACTTCTAGATATCCTTTAATTTGTTTCCATCTCAATGTAGTCCTGATAAGAACTGGCTCTAACTTAAAATGTTTCACCTTAAGTCTAAAGTCTGCTTAATGAAAAATTCCTCAAACACAAGGACATACAGTTTTATTTAGTTCCTTAAAGGAGTCAGTAACAACTTAAATTTCTTTTTCAACTGAGCTCACAGACCTATTAACAGAAGAGTGGGTGGGTTACTAGCGGGAGGAGCGGAGGGGAAAAGGGTGAGGATTGGAAGAAACCGTTAAACTGGTACAAAGTCATAGAAAAAAATGAATGTTTTATTACATTGGTCATTATTATGTAGTCACTACTGTTTCATATAATTCTAAATAACAAGGATTTTGAAGAACTAAATGTATGAGATTTTGAATATCCTGATTAGATCAATATGTAATATATAAATGCACCACACTAATGCCTGGTGCCGCATAAACATAATGATTGAGAATAAAAGTTCTTACTGTTCCCTAAAAACTATAGCAAAATAACTGCCACTTCTCTTCAGGAATGGGTACATCTTTCTAACTGCATGAGATACACTTTGCAGAGACAGCAGCAATCCTGCCACAGTTCCAGTGCCATCACACCCTAAAGCTTTCATACTCCTCAATGACTCACACACAACTTTTAATCCTGCAAGACCCATTCATTGATACTGCCTTACACAGAGACACATTTTTTACAGTGCCTCTTCTGTTTGGATACACAACTGTTCATTGTATTATAACTGTTTACTGAATTCCATACAGTAATATGTTATGCAGGCTTTTAACTTAGAAGCAACAGACCACAGCATGTAGCTTAAGTGTACAGTGCCTTAACACCTACATTTATGTAAGGACAGTGTAAGAATAAGAAACTGACTATACCACTCCTTCCTAAATAGAAAGATACCTACAAAGAAAGTGACTTATAAAGTAATTCTTCATAAGCATAAAACTCTGGGGGAATAACTCAGTCAGTAGAATGATTGGCATGCAAACAAAGGACCTGAGTCCAGATCCCTAGCACCCATATAAAAACCCAGACAAAAAGCTCGGGCATGGTGGCATGCACTTATAATCCCAACGCTGGGGAGGCAAACACAACAGATTCCTAGAGCTCAAGGGCTTGCCATGAATGGACAATCAGAGACCCTGTGTCATAAAGTAAGGCGGAGAGCAACTGAGAAGACACCCAACACTGACCTCTGGCATGGTGGAGAAAGCCTTTAATCTCTCAGCACTCTGGAGGCAAAGACAGGACATCTGTGAGTCTGAGGCCAACCTGATCTACATATGGAGTTCGAGGTCAGCCAGAACTAGGTGGTTATAGTAAATATATAAAAATCAATGTTTTTCCAAAAATATTAAGTAGTGTGATGGTTAATCCTGATTGTAAATTTGAATCACAATATAAACAAACCTCTGGCACTTCTGAGGGTGTTTTTAGATAGGTTAACTGAGGTAGAAAGACCTACCCTAAATATGGGTGGTACCATTTACACGGGCTGAGAGCCTGAAATGTATAAAAATAGAGTGAGCTGAGGGCCAGCATTCACCTTTCTGCTCACCAACTGCAGGGGAGCAATGTTACCAACTGTTTCACGCTGCCATGGCTCCACCACCATGATTAACAGCAACCTCACACTGTCAGAGAAAAGAAATCCTTCCATCCATCCAATGCATTTGACAGGTAGTTTATTACAGCACATGTCCTGGGTGGTACCTCAATATGTCTGACCCTGTGCTGTTTCCAAAAGTTAGACACTATGTGTGACAAAATACTAAAAAGCAAACAATTTTACCAATTATACCAAAAATCCCCAAGAACTATTTATAGTCTGTTGTGGTGCGCATATGGCCTGCCACCTATAAGCGCATGTGTTTAAGGCTTTGTCAGACAATGACACTATTTAGAAGTGATCTGAGTACAAAGGATTAATCTACTGATGGGTTCATAGTTGAATAGGCTAATAGATGGTGAAGGCTATCCAGAGAAAGCAATCACTGGCAGTGTACCTCTGAAAGATGTATCTTGTCCATAGCCATCTGAGATGGACAACCCAGCTCCATCAACCCCTCTCTGCCATGATAGCCTGTCTTACCTCAGGTTCAAACAAGAGTAATTAATCATGAACTGAACTGAGCAACATCTTTCCT